GTTACGATATCTATGGGCAGAGTAGTAGAATAGAGATATTACCCTCGCTCCCATGTTACAATATGACGTGGTATAACCGTAATGAAGATACATATAAAAACAGCTTTTAAAACTAAAAATAACATTTACTGACCTAAGAATTATATAAAAATAAATAATGATTTGTTTTGGATAAATCTTTCATTCATCTTTCAATCAGACTCTATCATGTCTGCAATCTACGGTCACTCTCGACTTTCATTATTACTAACGTTACTAGATTCATATGTATAGTCTCAATGTATCGTACCACATGAGTGAATACATATATAATAATAAACTTCTACAGGTTTCCCTGTGAACGCCTGTTCAACAAGAGGGAAGGAAAGGGGAGATTACTTAGTTATGATGTGATGAGATCTCCAGTAGCTTGTAGCTTCTATGAGTCGGCAGCTCACTGAAGTTCCATCACCACATCCTTGGCTACTACCCTGCATCACACGTATCCTCGTTCTTCTTCTTCCTTCCTTGGGTAACACAGAGGTGGCGCTGATCCTCTCGACACACCAGGAGGACATGTTCAGTGGGAGGTCCACCATTGGTGTCGACACTATATTTCCCTTGACTCTCGTCGTTCCTTGTTTTGTACATTGTCCCGGCAGCCTTATGTCAGTGCCCAGTGCACTGATTCAGTTATTGAAGAAGATATTCCGATGGCCGATTTCACTAGTTGGGTCGGGTTTCAATACAGGGTGCCTTCATAGCTGTTCACTATATTCACTATCTTAATAGGGTAACCAGAGATATTAATTTCTGCTACATTTGCTCACCTCAGTGGTTACTATAGATTGGTTCAGCATCAAAAAACCGATTACCCCCAGCCTCTTGGTTGGCACAGTTAAAGAGAACACTCCATCACTTGTGTCACAGTCGACGTTCCACTTGCCTCTTCAAAGGCGAAAATCAAAAGAAGCACTTGCTTACCGTAACCTCGGGTGTGTCCTCAATAGCCTCTATTGGCTACTCCTTGAGAACTCATTCACACTAAGTCATTACTACTTCCAACACTCACTGGTTGGACTGTGGGACGAACCTCGGCCCCATCTATGATCCAGGTTCCGAACAGTTGACCCTTCCATTAATATCAGTTTCTCATCTTCTAGTCCACTGTTCTGGGAGGTGATGAGGTTCTGGGGCTAGATTCACGACGCAGTTAGACAAGTGCTTATGAACGTGTACATCTTTTCTCCATCTTTGAAGGCTTGAATTATATTTATTAATCAGTTTTCTGATTGTAAATCGTTCCAATCAACTGTTGTTATTGTCAGCTCCTGGTGCTTCGGAGCTCATTTAATAATTTTAAATAATTAATAATCTATATATATATATAAATGACAATGTTCGTTTGTTAAAAATCGCTAATCTCCGAAAGTTCTTGACTCAGTGCTTTGAAATTTTCACAGACCGTTCCATTCGCATCCAAGAAGGATTTTATACACATACTAAATAGATGTCACGTCTGTGACGGGAAAATCATGTCTTATTTTTTAGGAAAACTGTGTTTTTCAAGTGTTTTTCATGTGAGGGGAATCTTCGAAATCTCTTTACTGATTGCTTTGAAATTTTGACACAACGTTGCATTCAAATAGACGCATGTTTTTAGATGCCTACTATATACATGCCTCACCTGTGACAGGAAAAAACATACGTTTTTGAAAAACATTGCCATCTGTTGGACGTAAGAGCATCACGACCTGTATTCTCGGAAAGTTCTTCACTGATTGCTTTGAAATTTTGACACAACGTTCCATTCGAATACGCACATGTTTTTATGTACACGCTATAGATGACATAGCACTATATAGATACTACACCAGTGACAGGTAAAAGCATGCTTTTTTTTTAAAAACAGTGCCATCTGTTGCATGTAAGAGCAACACACGCTATACTGGATATGTTACAATTCCATTTCAATGTTTCTGATTGAATCGATAAATTGAATTTTCATAGATTTCGATTTATTTTCCTTTTGATTTAATTATTTTGTGTGACAATGCATTGGAATTGAGCTGTGTTGTTTACCGTACTGTTCATTTCATGAGTATAATTTATTTTTTTATTTTTTAATTGTTTTTAATTTCGTTTTTTTAACTGCTTTCCTTATATTTCAGTGATGGGAACATCAGATCATTTGATGTTCCCAATTTTCTGATGGGAACATCAGATCATTTGGGAATGCATCGGATGAGGGAGTGGGGAATGGTGAGGAGGAGGAGGGGACAGGGGAGCGGGTAATGGTGGAGAGGACGAGGAGATGAGGGAGTAGTGGATGGTGGGAACGAAGGACAAGGGAATGTAGAATGGTGGGGAGGACAAGGGGACAGGGGTATAGGGGATGGTGGGGAGGACGAGGGGATGGGGGAGGGGGGGGGGGTAATGGGAGGGAGGACAAAGGAGTGGAGGAGTGGGAGATGGTGGGAAGGACGAGGAAGAGGGGAATGGTTGGGAGGACGAGGGGACGGGGGAAGTGAGGAATGGTTGGGAGGACGTAGGGATGAGGGAGTGAGAGATGTTGGGGAGGACAAAGGGACGGGGGAGGGAAGAGAATGGTGGGGAGGACGAGGGGACGTGGGGAATGGTTGGAAGGACGAGGGGATGGGAGCGGGCTGGGGGACAGGGAAAGGTTGCTGTGGCTCAGCAACACATGGCTGGGTACAGCTAGTTGTTTAATAATTGAAAACAAAGCAGCCAAAGATTGAGAAAAGATGGATAGGTTCGTAAGTGTTTGTGTAACTGCTTCGTGAATCTGACCCCTGGTGACTGGCGAAAGACGGCAGTGAAGAAGAGAGTGTGGAGAAGTACTTTGGTAGACCTTGAGACGTACTAGCCAGAGGACTAGTGGAGCACAGATGACTTTACTGTTGGAGTGTACTAGCCAGAGGGCTAGTGGAGCACAGATGACTTCACTGTTGGAGTGTACTAGCCAGAGGACTAGTGGAGCACAGATGACTTCACTGTTGGAGTGTACTAGCCAGAGGACTAGTGGAGCACAGATGACTTCACTGTTGGAGTGTACTAGCCAGAGGACTAGTGGAGCACAGATGACTTCACTGTTGGAGTGTACTAGCCAGAGGGCTAGTGGAGCACAGATGACTTCACTGTTGGAGTGTACTAGCCAGAGGACTAGTGGAGCACAGATGACTTCACTGTTGGAGTGTACTAGCCAGAGGACTAGTGGAGCACAGAAGACTTCACTGTTGGAGTGTACTAGCCAGAGGACTAGTGGAGCACAGATGACTTCACTGTTGGAGTGTACTAGCCAGAGGACTAGTGGAGCACAGATGACTTCACTGTTGGAGTGTACTAGCCAGAGGACTAGTGGAGCACAGATGACTTCACTGTTGGAGTGTACTAGCCAGAGGACTAGTGGAGCACAAATGACTTCACTGTTGGAGTGTACTAGCCAGAGGACTTGTGGAACACAGATGACTTCACTGTTGGAGTGTACTAGCCAGAGGACTAGTGGAGCACAGATGACTTCACTGTTGGAGTGTACTAGCCAGAGAGCTAGTGGAGTACTGAGGACTTCACTGTTGGAGTGTACTAGCCAGAGAGCTAGTGGAGTACTGAGGACTTCACCGTTTGGGTGTGCTAACCAGAGGGTTAATAGAGCGCTGAAAGACTTCACGATTTCAGCGTACTAGCGAGTGGGCTAGTGGGGCGCTTGAAGACCTCGTCGGAGTGTACATAAGTGTCCGTCATCTTTGAAGCTAGTTAGCATGAGGGCTAGTGATGTACTGGACAACCTCTTTAGGATCTTGTGTATAATGGTAGCTGTAGATAATAAGAACAGTTAATAGTAAGTGTAATTTAATTTCTTACCTTAAACATTGCACTACAGTTCCACCAAGTTTAGGGATCTCTGAACTTAGAATCATAGTTTAAAAGAACTAAGTTACAGAAGGACTCGTAACAAACTGTCGCTAGGCTTTGATGGTCAGTCCATTCGCGTGGACCTACCAAGGTCCAGATGAATGTACTTGCAACTCCCTCCTCCGAATATGGTATACTATCCAGTCTCTTCTACTCTCAGCAGGTTCTTCCGTCGACGATACTCGTATGACCTTATCCTCAAAGGTCCTTTTGGCGCCTCAATGTGGTTGGAGTGCTGTTGTCTCTATTCTGGGCTCAACTCGCCACTTAGAATCCAAATCTGCCAATCCTTGCGAGTGCGTCCGAGGTTATAACCACCCTGTCCACATACGAGAAGAATAGTGAGCCGGGCTCCTCTTTCTGGGTTGGGCTCAGTGCCCACCGATGACGTCACGGAAAGCTCGTCGCTGATTGGCTGAGCCCCTGAGTCAGCGCCACTGACCTCTCTCATTGCGTGAGCTCTAGACATGTGTCGCTGCACTCTAAAAGTTCCCGGACGTGTCACCACCCGCTTGGGCACCATTTTGTTTTGCAATCTGCCACAATTCACTCATTTACATCCAAGTATCATGCAAAATTGTGTATAAGACTCGTTCCTATTTAACTTAAATTACAGCTTGGGCCGTGTGCGATCCTTCTAGGGAGGAAAAAATAATTCTTGTCGCCAGAAAGAATTGTTATTAGACGGCGATCATAAAATAGCGTTTTGAGTATGTTCTAAATATTTCTTACTGATTACGTCAAACAGGATAATTCAGAAAAAATTGTGAAAAAGAAAACTGAAAAAAACATTTTGTGTACTGTATGAAACAACTTTCTTCTACTTTGTTAATGTCATAAAGGACCAGAATATACCTAAATACACTAGCATAGAAAACAATCTAGTATCATAATTAGACAGTATAGGATTAGGTAATAAATAGAATAATGCACCTTTTGTGTTAGTTGAATAGACTCCTGTAGAAAAAGGGGGATAAAAATACTGTGCCATTAGGTAATGCGTAGCATGGCCGACAATTACCTGAGAGAGCTTCCCTATTAAAAATAATGTGCGACATTGAACAATGCTTTATTTTTTTTACTTTTAGATAAGAGAGAGAAGCAGAAACAAGGCCCAACTAATGTGCTGTCTCTAAGTGACATCAAATATCCTCATAACATCATAATGATTGCAGTGCTATATCTTGAGTTGTTACTGGTTGCCACTTCTCTCCTATCAGCCGTGGATCTGCTTACTTTCAACAGTATGTGAATTTTTATCATTAAAAATGCTCATATTCTTAGAAATTTACATTTTCATGAATACATTTCTAGGCTCTTGTTTTATTTAAATTTGTATGAATAAGCCGGTGTGAGAATTTATAAATGTGTAATTTGCTAAACATGTTAATAAAAAGTTGAGCAAATAAAAACACTATGTAGACCAGATACTCATGAAGTTGCATTACCAACAAATATTTCAGACACTGTAGACAGAAGAATAACACTATTGAGCGGTTGTGTGGAGGCGGTGTTGACAACTGTGTCTGAGCCTCGCTGTTCCGTCATGTTCTTCACGGACGGAGCATCAACCCTCAGAACTGTGGCTAAGGTGAGTCTTCATAACCTCTGCAGATTCTATAGCCTTAGATTCGGGGAAACGAAATCGACTAATAATTGAATTTTACCCATTTCTCGAATAATTTATAAATAAACACGTAACTTTTCTCAAAATGGGTTCTAGGAAAACTAAATTTTTCTCAAAATGAGTGCTAGAAAAAAAAACAGTGAGAGACCATGAACTCAAATTACGGAGACAAGGGATCTTGTCATGTCTCACAGAGAATAATAAGAATGTATGTGAGAAACACAAAAAGATTTCTAGTGGTCTTAACGTCAGAACCAGCGTGGAGACCAAGGTTACAAGATGAGAGGCCAGAGGAAATACTGGATGGCATTGTAGTCATAGTAGAGGAGGACGAAAAATCATAGAGAACTAGATGTGAAAAGATCATTGAGGAGAGACCTAAACTCAACATGGTTGCTGAGGAAGGCTGTAGAAGTACTTGGCCGTCTGCTGTGTAAATTTTTTTATTGAAATGTTGAATTTCATTAGAATTTTTGGGGCATTTTTGGGAATAAATCTGTGGCATCAGGGTGAAAGAAACTCTGCCCAATTTTGTTTCCGCTGGAGCCGGGAATTGAACCCCGGACCACAGGATTACGTGACCATCGTGCTGTCCACTCAGCCACCGGCCCCCGTGTGTGTGTGTGTGTGTGTGTGTTTGTTAGAGAGAAATATATTTATAATAGACATATTAGAGGAAAGAAGAGATAGGTTTGAGAGGTGGGGTACATGAGCTAACTGCTCGATTTTGCAGGAAGAGTAAAAAGTAAAGACAGACACACTCACACTCTGAACATGTGGCATTAAGGAATGTTACACATTGACAGACTTTATATATTAACAGACTAGTAACATTATGTACTGAGAATATTGTATGTGACTTGAAAACTTTTCCAATATATGTAATTAATTAAAGAAATGCAAGATAAAAAAACGAATATAGATTTTTTTAAACGACCTAATTTATATGAATATCATATATTGTGCAGTGACAGGTTAAATATCACCATATACATCATTTACACAATGTAACACAATTTTTGTTCCTGGGTAGTAAGTGTACTAATTGTTTGCAACTAAGAAGTATGAAAAATGGCAATTGTTTCCCCCCAAATCATGCTTTTGGAACCATGACAGCTCTAATTTGAATTTTACCTGTTTCCATTGAGAAAAAAGGCTAATGGCTCAGCAACGCATGTGCATTGCTGAGCCACAGCAACCTTCCCTGTCCCCCAGTCCTCCCCACCCTTCCCCCCCCCCCCTCACCCGTCTCCTCAGCCTCCCACCCATTCCACACTCCACCGTCCCCTCGTTCTCCCCACCATTCCCCACTCCACCATTCCCTCTTCCTTCCCACCATGCCCCACTTCCCTGTTCCTTTGTCCTCCCCGCCATTCTTCATTCCCCCATCCCCTCGTCCCCACCATCCCAAACTCCCCCGTTCTCTCGTCCTTCCCCATTATTACCTCCTCCCTTGTCCCCACATCCTCCCCACCATCTCTCACTTCCGGCCACTCATCATCCCCACCATTCCCCACTCCCTCGTCCAATGCCTTCCCAAATGGTCTGATGTTCCCATCATAAAATTGGGAACATCAAGTGATCTGATGTTCCCATCACTGAAATATAAGAAATACAGTTAAAAAATGAAATGAAAATATGAAAAAATAAGCAAATAAATTATACTCACGAAATGAATGTTATGGTAAAATCACAGCTCAATTCCAATGCAATGTCACACAAAAAAATTAAATCAAAATGAAAATAAATCAAAATCTATGAAAATTCAATTTATCAATGCAATCTAAAACATTCAAATGAAATTGTAACATATTTAGTATAGCATGTGTGTTGCTCTTACATGCAACAGATGTCACTGTTTTTTCAAGAGAAGCATAGTTTTATCTGTCACAGGTGTGGCGTCCATACTTATACTTACAAAATGCACGGTATGGTAAGCAACACAGCTCAATTCCAACACAATGTTACACAAAATAATTCAATAAAAAATCAAATTAATTGAAATCAATGAAAATCAAATTTAGCAATGCAATCGGCAAGAATAAAATTGAATTCGTAACATATTTAGTTTAGCGTGCATGTTGCTATTATGTGCAACAGATGGCGCTGTTTTTACCTGTCAGAGGGGTGGCATTTATACAGTAGGTATATAAAAAGACGCGCTTATTCGAATGCAGCGTTGTGTCAAAATTTCAAAGCAATCAGTAAAGAACTTTCAGAGATTACAGCGTGTGTTGCTCTTATGTCCAACAGATGGCGCTGTTTAAAAAAAAAAATGTTTTTTCCTTTCACAGGTGAGGCATGTGTATAGTAGATATATAATAAGACGCGCCCATTCGAATGCAACGTTGTGTCAAAATTTCAAAGCAATCAGAAAAGAGGTTTCGAAGATTTCCCTCACATGAAAAACAGTATTTTTTTTTTAGAAAAAACACGTTTTTTTTTTTTTTTACCGCCACAGACGTGACATCTATATAATATGTACATAAAAACCTGGCATTTATATGGATGCGAATGGAACGTTGTGTGAAAATTTCAAAACAATCGGTGAAGAACTTTTGGAGATTATGGTTATACACAAACGAACACTTCCATTTTTATTTATATAGACTAGCAGTACCCGGCCACGGTCGCTGTTGGGGAGCAACGCACGTGCGTTGCTGAGCCACAGCAACCTTCCCTGTCCCCCCCTGTCCTCCCCCGTTTCCCCCTCACCCATCTCCTCAGCCTCCCCCACCATTCCCTACTCCACCATCCCCTCTTCCTTCCCAACATGCCCCACTCCGTTGTCCTCCCCACCATTCTCCATTCCCCCCTCCCCTCGTCTATACCATATCAAACTCCACCGTCCCCTTGTCCACATACCCCATTACCCCCCCCCTTGTCCACATACCCCATTATCCCCCCCCCCTTGTCCCCTCGTCTTCCCCACCATCTCTCACTTCCGTCCCCTTGTCATCCCCACCATTCCCCACTCCCTTTTTTTTTTTTTTTTTTTCTTTTTAGCAGGGATAATCCTGCGCGGGCCCTAAGCCTCTGGCTGGCCCACTAAGTGATGCTCGTTTCTGTTTTACCTGGGCGGAGGATGAGTATGTATGACCCGTATGGTCGCTTCAGTAAGATTTTGCCATATGTGTTTAACAACTTCCTCTGCTCTGTCGAATCGAAGGTGAAATCTTAACGGGTTTGTAACTGTGCACTGTGTTAGATAATGTTCCAGTGGTCTGTCGGGCATTTCTCCACAGTGTTGACATTTCCTCTCACCTTCCGGAACCCGTAAGCCTATTTCCCACGCACATGGGTATCCAAGCCTGATGCGATGTAAGTGCACTTCTGTTGTTCTACTGCCCCCTTTCATCAAACTAAGTGGTTCGTAGTTGGTGGAATTCTTGTACCAACCCGCAGATCCTGATGTTGCAACTGCTGTGTTGTGGTCACTGTACAGCCTTCGCATTGCTCTGTTTCGAATCACTTTCTTCATCTGGGAGAGACTCGGTGGTATGTAAATGTCTACATTCCTCCTCTTAGTAGCAAGTTTTGCAGCTTCGTCTGCAATGTCATTACCTAATAGTCCCACATGACTTGGCACCCAGTTGATAAGCACCCGTCGGCCTTGTCGGTGGAGTGTGTGCATGAATGATAAGACATTGGTGATCAGATGGATGTTATCACATATGTGTTCCTGTTGCAAGGTTTCAATGGCGGTTCTCGAATCTGTATGGACGATAACATGTTGGCGGTGTTCAGCAAGAGCATGTTCCAAAGCCTTTTGAATGGCTAGCATCTCAGTCTGTAAAGTCGAACACCCATTTGAGAGCCTCCAACTATATACAGAGTTTCCTGCTTTAACTGCAGCTCCGGTTTCCTGTCCCTGCTGGTCTACTGACCCATCCGTGAAGTAAGTGAAGCTGTCGGATGCCATGTTTGCTTCTATATGCATCTGTGCAATGTGACGTAGCAGATGAGGATGTGTCTGGTTCTTCTTTCCGTCAAGAGCCATAATCTGAAAGTCTGCTGGCAGAGATTCCCAAGGGGCTTGTATAACAAAGTCTGCATGTATGTCGTCGACACCCCTCTCAGTGACTGTGTTTGCCATATCGAACGTATCGATGGCGTTTATCGCACAATGGGTCCACCTGTTGCTATTGGAGGCTCTTCTGTCCAGAGTTAGTGCTCCAGTGATCAAATCTTTAAGTGAACTGATTCTAGGTCTAGTCAATATCTTGGTCAGCATGCACGCAGCAATCCCCTTTACCCTTATTTCAATCGACGTTAGCTTTGTCTCTAGTCTTAGGTTCAGGATTTTAGTCCATCTGGGAGCACCTGTTATGACTCGCAATGCATCATTTTGAAGAACCTCAACGTTTGCCCACTGACCAGGAGAAAGAGTGAGTAAGGCAGGCGCTGCATAATCAACCAGGGAACGAACGGCGTGTATGTAAAACATTCTCAACACTCTGTGTCCCGCTCCTAGACGGGGCCCTGTGATTGCTCTCATTATATTTATTCGTGACTTTGCTTTCTCCTTTAGATATTGAATTTGCTTATTGAATGTCATCTTAAAATCAATCCACACTCCGAGATATCGATATTGTGGAACCCACTGAAGGTTAATGTCCTGAATGCGTAGGTGCCTGTCTGGAGCCTTGCCACCTAGTCTCATCGCCTTAGACTTCTGTGCAGATATTTTTAGCCCTAAAACACTGCATTCAGATGTCACTTGATCTAAAGCACCTTGAGCTTTATTTAGAAGTGAAGGACCCGTAACGACTAATGCTAGATCATCAGCATAGCTTAGCAATGTAACCCCTTCTGTAAAGGACATGGTAACAAGGTTTTCCATAAGGATGTTAAAAAGACTAGGACTGAGGACTCCTCCTTGTGGAGTCCCATTCTCGTGCAAGTGGTAGTCCGACACTTGTCCTTGCAACTTTACTCTGGCATACCTGTGACTTAGGTAATCT